ACACATTTTGGGGAGTAAGATTTTGAAGTATCTCATTTGAAGAAAAATATTTAACTTCATAAACTACACTCCAGATTTACATGCTTTGAGATAATCATAGTTTAAATGCATATATGTATATATTACATCATCCTAACACAACGTAAATTCTAAAACATAATTTATGGAAACACACCCAGCCCCAGCAGAGGGAACCACAGGCTGTGGAGTATGGAAAACGTCAAGCAGGGTTCTCAAGGCCAGACACAAACAGCATCTTACATTGGCCTGCACCAGAGACCATACAAAAGACTGGGAGTCCTAGCAGATCTACCTAATACACAATAACAAATCCAAACAGGCAGCCAAAATGGGGAGAGAAAAAAAACAAGCCCCAAATGAAAGAACAAGAGAAGTCTCCAGAAGAAGAGCTAAATGAAATGAAGATAAGCAATCTATCAGATAGAGTTCTGAATATTGATCTAAGGATGCTCAACAGCATGAAAAAGATATGGAAACTATGAAGGGAATTAAGAACGACATGATATATCAAGATGGCGGGGTAGGTAAGAGCTGTACCCGCCGCCTCCCACAACCACATCAAAATTACAACTCAAATACAGAACCACAATCACTCAGAACCTCCTGAAACCTAGCTGAACAGAAGCCCTACAACCAGGGAACTAAAGAAGCATCGAGACGAGTAGGAGGGGCAGAGATGCCAGCGGATCAGGGCTGAATCTCGGACACGCAGCCAAGGGACCACCCCCATTGCGGAGATTTAAACCCAGGACGGACATCTCAGTGGTGGGGGTTTCCTGGAGGAGCAGGGGTCCCAGCCCCACAACAGGCCCCCAGCCCAGGGATCCAGGACGGGGAAGAAAAGTCCCCACAACTTCAGGCTGTGAAAACCAGCGAGGACTGTCGCTGATGGTTGCAGAGGCTGCGGGAACCCCAGGCTTTCCTCTTAAAGGGCCCGTGCTCGGCCTCACTCAGACGTGCTCCCTCTGAGCTCCAGTGTCCAGCAGCAGCTTGAAGGGAACCTGGGACATTTGGGGAGGAACTAACTTGCCTGAGATTGGGGCGAGAGGTGGAGGGGTAGCATTCTCCCAGGCAGAAGAGCTGGCAGAGGCCATCGCTTCTTTGGAGAGTCCTCCCCCCACACAGCCGGCAGGCAGGTGCCATATTTGAATCACCAGCACCTGATTCACACCTTTGGCCCTGCCCCTCCCTACCTACAAGCTCATCCAAGCCATTTCCAGGAACTTTTCTGTGCAAGTGGCCTCTTAAGCTGTATACTTAGGACTTTCCTAAAATCTCTCAAACAAGCAGCAGCTCACCTCAGTGTGCCCCATACCTCTCGATAAGTGGCCTCAGGCCAGGCACTAGTGGCACACTGCACTGGTTCATACTTTGGCCTCTCCTGGACACCTCAAAGCCCAGCACAAGTAGCAGCCATCTACAGAGTGCTGCGTAGCTCATGCTGGGTGGCCCTGGGCAGAGCATAGACAGAGCCTGACTTTGCACCTCCCGGGAGGCCCCAGAGACAACACACCTGGTGGTCAGCTTCAACCATGCTGGATTACAATCCTACCACATCTATGAGTGACACACTCAAAGGGTGCACTCGATGAACAGCAAAGCTCCACTGAAGTAAATCCTGCTCCATAGGGGTGTCTCCAGCAAACCAGCTCTTCAGCTGTATCTGCAGCTGGTCCTTGCAGCCGATTGTACTGGGGATCAATTCCTCCCAGGGGCCAATAGCAACCAAGGCTCAACTACAATAGGACAGTGCATACAGCCCACACAGGGGAGCACCTAGAAGGCCCAGCTCAGGTGACTGGGGAGGCTCATCCACTGGGCCCTACAGGACACCTACTACACAAAGCCACTCTACCAATTTCAGGAGACATGGCAGCTCTACCTAATACACAGAAACAAACACCAGGAAGCAGCCAAAATGCGGAGGCAAAGAAACATGTCACAAATGACAGAACAGAAAAAATATCCAGAAAAAGAACTGAAGGAAATGGAGCCAAGCAAGCTACTAGACACAGAGTTCAAAATAATGGTTAAAAGGATGTTCAAGGATCTCAATAACACTATTAAGGAAACTGGTGAGATCATCAATGACAGAATAAAGTACCAGTCAGAAATGAAAGCTACACTAACTGAAATGAAGAATAACTTACAGGGAATCAACAATAGAATAGAGGACAGTGAGAATCAAATCAGAAATTTGGAACATGAGGAAGCAAAAAACATGCAACCAAAAAAGCAAAAAGAAAAAAGAATCCAGAAATATGAAGATAGTGTAAGGAGTCTCTGGGACAACTTCATGTGGCTCAACATTCGCATTACGGGGTACCAGAAGGAGAAGAAAGAGATCAAGAAATTGAAAACCTATTTGAAAAATAATGACAGAAAACTTCCCCTACCTGGGGAAAGAAATAGACTTACAAGTCCAGGAAGCATAGAGGGTCCCAAACAAGAGGAACCCAAAGAGGCCCACAGCAAGACACATCATAATTAAAATGCCAAAGGTTAAGACAAAGAGAGAATCTTAAAAGCAGCAAGACATAAAAGCAGTTAGTTACCTAAAAGAGGTCACCCATGTGACTGTCAGCTGACTTCTCAACAGAAACCTTGCAGGAAAGAAGGGAGTGGCAAGAAATATTCAAAGTGATGAAAAGCAAGCACCTACAACAAAGATGACTCTACCAAGCAAAGTTGTCATTTAGAACTGAAGGTCAGACAAAGAACTTCACAGATAAGAAAAAGCTAAAGGAGTTCATCACCACCAAGCCAGTACTACATGAAATGTTGAGGGTTCTTTTTAAGAAGAGACTACTGAACAAAATAAACTGACAAACAAAATAGATCCAGAGACATTGAAGCATACAACAGACAGTCATATATCAGAGGGAAGAGGGAAGGGGGGGTCGAGGGTGGGAAGAGATTAATCAAAGAAGTTACATGTATATATGCATAACCCATGGACATAGGCAATAATGGGGTGAAGGCCTGGTGACGGGGTGGGAGCGACGTGGAAGGGGTCAATGGGGGGAAAAATGGGACACGTGTAATACTCTTAACAATAAAGATAAATTAAAAGAAAACAAAACAAATTAAGGAAACTTGATGTGAAATTTTTCATCTATCCGATTGGCAGAGATTATTTAAATTATCACCCCAAATGTTGGCAAGGGTTCAAACAAGTCTCCTATACTATAGTGGAAATATTACTTGAAGTTACCAATTCTAGCAAGCAATCAAGAACTTTAGCCTGGCTGGTGTGGCTCAGCTGGTTGGATATTGTCTGAAAGGTTGGATATGCACTGAAAGGTTGCCAGCTTGATTCCTGGTGAGGGCACACGTCTGGGATGCGGGCTCGATCCCTGGTACAGGGTGTGCAGGAGGCAGTCAATCGATGTTGTGCTCTCGTATCAATGTTTCTCTCCCTCTCCCCCCTCCCTTTGTCTCTCTCTAAAAATCAATAAAAGAATCTTTAAAAAAAAAAAGAACTTTATAAATATTTATATCCTCTGACCCAGGAATTCCACTTTTAGGAATTTAGCTTAAGGACATCATTGGAAACACACACAAATATTTCTATGCATGGATATTTATTATAACAATATTTGAAATACTAGAAAAAAAATGCAATATAACAAAATAGGAATGGATAGGTTATGATCCATTTATATGACTGAATGTTATGTAGTCATTTGGTTTTCATGAGCACTCACTGAATATTGGCAGATCAAGTGATGTTCTCTAGGATTTGCTTCAAGTAAATAATCCAAGGAAGGAAGGAGTAGGGTTACAGATGGAGTGAGATTGGCTGAGTTGAGAAATGTTAAAGTTGGTTGATAGGTTCATGGGGGTTCACTACACCATTCTGTCTAGTTTTGTATATGTTTGAAAATTCCCATAATACAGAAAATAATATATGGGAAATTTTAAGTAATAAAAAATAACAGGATACAAAACTGATTCAAAACATAAATCCAAGTTCATAAACAGAAAAAGATGACATACATACAGGGGAAAAAGACACTAAAATGTTTAACGGTAACTATCTCTGGGCTGCAGTATTTGACATATTTTTATCTTTTTAGTAACTCCTAACTTTTCCTAAATAAACACAGGTTCATATGATCATCAGAACAACATATTATAACAGCTACTTTGAAAGATGTTCAAGTCCAATTAAAAAGGCACCTTCCTAACTCTAAGAACAAAAAACATACGGAACTTCACTTACTCAGTTAGTTTGATTTTCTAACCGATTTGTTATCCTGCGAACGGAAACTCTTCACGGGCTCTCCTGCACAGCCTCCGGTCCAAAGTCCTCAGTATATGGACCTCTCCTCCCTGGAGCCCCAGCCCTTTGCAGTCCCTTCTCCCACCACACTCCTCCAGGAGGCACCTTCACAATCGTCACTTAATACACACTGTGCTTTGTGAATCTAGTTAGCTGTGTACATATCTGTCTCTCCAGTTGGGGTATAAAGTCTGCCCGGCACCAACCACAGCCACATCTTCCTCTCTCCACCAGTGCCCGGCATACCGCCTCATAAAGAAGAGGTATGACCTTAGATCTCATAAATAAGAGTCATGGACACAGCCACAAATTGAAACTTACAGCTTAGATAACGCATTTTCAATATTATATAAACTTCCTAAGAAATGAACTCTAAATTATCTCCAGAAATTGAAGATTAATTACCAACTAATATCATTAACCCCTCTTAACAAAGCCAACTTCCACAGTCCTACATGAAGTCCTCCATTACAGGCAAATCTGTTTTTCTTAAAAGCTTTTTTTTTAAATTCTCACCCGAGGATATGTTTTCATTAATTTTTTTAGAGACAAAGGAATAGAGAGAGAGAAACAGCAATGGGAGAGAGAAACATCAATCGGCAACCTGCTGTACACACCCTGAGGGGACGGAACAGCAGCCCAGGCGTGCAGCCTGGCCTGGCGCTGAACCCCGCCTCTGTGCACGCCCACTTACCTGGCAGCTGTGACCCTGTGGATGAGCGACTCCGTCTGCTCTGACAAATGTGATGGAAGCAGCAGCTCCACCGGCTGCAGGCACAGCATCCGAGTTTCCAGCTCTGAACGGGCACCAGAGTCCTGGAAACTATCAAACACAACCGCTCCCGTGGCAGGCTGCACTCCCTGAAAGCAAATGAAAATGTAAAGGCTCCTAATCATCAGATTCACTAATATCCAAACTATGCTAAATGAGATTTTAGAGCAATACCAAGTCCAAGTCCTCCTTGACCTAACAAACCTGAGAGAGTGGCTGTGACAAGTCACCAAACCCTCTGTTTCCTCCTCTCCAGGCAGGACGACACCAGCCTACTTCCCAGAGGGTCGTCAAAAGGTCCCAACCAGAAAACAGACACGAAGGCTTTGTCAGCTATAAAGCACTGTACAAACAGCGGTCGTCGTCACCAAAAGTAACTAAGTGACATGTTCCTAGTAACCTGGCCACAAGAGTAGCAGTAAATTACTAATCAATGATATAAAGTTAATAAATAAAAAGTATAACTTTAAAAAAAAATCAAATATAACAAACTCTGAATGTACCCCAAGGGGACAATCCATCCAGGGACTAAGCATGATAATTAAAAGCCACCCCTATCACCCCAAGCCAGTAACAGCAAAGATAAACTAGAAAAGATCACGGTTTAAAACAGGTGAAAAAAGTTCTTAAGTGATTTTCCCAAGGTCACAGGGCGATACAGTGGCAGAGCCAAGATTCATGTAGTCTGACTCCACAGGCCACACTCTTATCCACTACGGATACTTAAGAAATGTATGGGGCTAGTTACAGACTGTATTAGCTAACAGGGAAAATAACCAGTCCCCACACTTATACGTGGCTGATGGGAAGTCGACTGACGCAGCCGCTTCTGAAACAGCCTAGCACTTTCTAGGAAAGCTGAAAACATCCATACTCCACAATTCAGCAATTCTTCCCCTAGGTATATAGTCCTGAGAAACTCAGACACATGTACAGAAAGGTTTATAGCAGTGTTCTTAGTAAAACCAAAAACTGGAAAGAACCCACACATACGTCAACAGAAGACTGAATAAACTGTAGATCATAAAATGAAACACAGCACAGCAACTGACAGTGGAAGAACTCCAGTGACACATGTAAGTAAACCTTGTACACAAATAGTACTTTCTAAACAAAAGCAGCAAGACCCCCCAAAATACATACAATATGTTTACATCTGTATGAAGTTTAAGGAGTAAAACTGGAAGCAAGGAAATTATTCCCATAGAAATCTGGATTAGTTCCCTCTGGAGGGAAGGGCCCTTCTGCAGGTGGTTCTATTTCCTGACCTCAGTGGTAACTCACATTACACTGTAGTTACGTATCCTCTTTTATGCATTTTTCCTCTTGAACACTTCATAATTTTTAAAAATCTTTCATTTCTCGGTTCAAGCAACCTCCTTAATTCTAGCCCAAAGGACTTCCTCTAGTGCCGAGATGGCTGGGCTAACGTACATTAGTAACATATGTAAGTTTATCTCCCACTCTACAAACCATTTATAAAGGCCATTTATAGAAGTTCAAGTAACAAATTTATCAGCCAAACAAATACCCCTTTGCTTTTTTAAATCAGAGAAATGGTCTATATTGTAACATCTGCAACAGACATGGGAGCCTAACAGTTCTGAAGGGCCCTAAAAAGTCTAAGATTCTGAGCAGAGTCCAGGAAGGTCTGTAAATGGGCAAATTTACTCAAAAATTGCCAGAAGGCAAGATCAATAAAACTAAGACTCGCAAGTTACATGTATTTGGAAGACTGGTTGTAAATATTCATAATATTAATTAAATATGAAGTTTTGTATTGGCCGACTACATTTCCCCTCCCTTACCTATCCTTTCCTCCAACTCTACATACAACAATCCCACAATCATCTGTATTCCATTTCAAACCTCTAGGAAGTCTGTAAAACCCTTTGCTATCCATGCATGTGCTGGTTTGGTGTTTTGTCTTGCTATCTGTATTTGTTCACACCCACGCCTATCACCATGTCTGTCTGCAACCCTAAACAACTAGAGCACAGGAACAGAAACTACCTTGACCTCTCCTGGCAGAGCGCCAAGGAGCCATATGAGAAAACTGAAACTAGTGATCTAAAACAGAAATTATGAGGAAATGTGTGTTTTTAAGTACGATTACGTGAGAGCACACTTCACCAGACACCCTCCTCACAAACCACGTGATTACTCCTATTTCCAGACCCGACATTGTCGCTCACCCTTCCCCTACAAGGCACTCACCACAACTCCAACAAAAACGTTCCCCTTTTTTTTGTCCTTAATGTTTTCACAGATGCACAGAAGACAGCCACTGGAGGCGTCAGTCACCGTCTCGTCGGCATGGAGAGCGTCACCCAGCTGGGCCAAAGGGCTCACATGTAACAATGATTAAAGAAGAGTATACACTCCATTCCCATGAATATTAACTGTGTTTTCCTTTAAATTAGCGATTCATTTTTCCAGGCATTTTTGCTCTGTGCATAAATCTTCCACACAGCATTAACTGTTCTGATTCACTCTGGTCATAGTTCCATGAGGACCAACAACTATTATCTTCTCACTTCCAAAGGGCCTAGGAGAGATCCTCAGACCTTGTGGAAACCCAAATGTTATTTGATGCTGAGACTTGAATCTTTAACCATCTCCTAATGTATAATTCCGTAAATCGAAGGGTGAATACACTAAAATAGTATACATTACTTTCCTCCTTTAAAGTGCATAATAGTTCTCAGGAGAAAAGAAAACCAAAAAAGGAAACAGCCCAGCTGGCGTGGCTCAGGGGCTGAGTGTCAAGGAGATCGAAGTTCGATTCCTGGTTGGAGTACATGCCCAGGCTGTGGGCTCGATCCG